TGCAGGACTGGTTGCTGCCCCAGCCGTAGGCCCGCTCCTCGGCCGTCAGCGCCTTCAGCCTGGCCTCCTGGATCGAAAACACCTGAGGCGGCGGAAAATCCACGCCCGCGAGCTGCTTCGCCACCCCGTGGCCGTTGTCGACGTACCAGTCGTGGAGGCCCCCGAAGCTGCTCCACGCATTCGCGTTCAGCCCGAAAAAAACAAAACAAATTCCATTTTGCTTCGGGCTCTCCTCAGCAAGCTGGACTCGGACTCCAGCAACTCGTCGAGCTGCTCGCCGAAGACCGTGTTTTTCTACACCGCTACGGGCGCAACGTGGGGACAAGAGAGCATCATCATGGTCGCCGACCTGAACTGCAGCGTCGCCCTCGGGCTGGTCCACCTCTGGCGGGGCCGCGGTGTCGGGCTGGGCGCGAACCACGCCAGCCGCTTCGCGGGCCGCCTCGCCCTGGCCCAAGCCGGAGCCACTGGCCGAAGCCGCTGCCGACCAGTTCGCATGAAGCGGCGCGCCCGCCGCCGCCGCCGAGGGGCACCTGGGAGGGGAAACTCTCCTCGCAGCACCTGCCATCAACCCAACATCGGGCCCCCCGAGCGCTGCCACCTCGAAGCCCAGGTTCGGCCACTCCAGGTCGACAGCGTTGGACTCCCAGAACCTGACCAGCCCACCTGCCGAGCTCGCGCCTGCCGATCCTGAGGAACAGGGAGCCGCCCCAGTCGAAGAACATATGGCGCCCTCTGCCCGACCCCCCGCGCGGGCTGCCCTGGGGTCGCGGACCCCAGCCGCGCAGGGGGCGGGTGAGTCTGGCGGCCGAGAAGGAGTGGCCGAACTCCCTGCCGACGCCCCTGAACGACTCGCACATGCGCCATCGCCCTCCTCGTTGGCCTCACTTCCTCGCGGCACACGTCCCGACATGGGCTGGCGCAGGGGTTCGGCCGAGGGGCGGCTGCATCTCGCGGGCCCTGGCTGCCGTCCTCCACGACGCCGACTCGCTGGAGGTCGGGCGGGCAGGCTGCCCAGCAGCGGCCACTCCTCGTCAAAGGCGCTGGCGCTTGGCTGTGTGCTTCGCCAGGTACTCCGCGATGGCGGCCTCGGGGTTCTCTGCTTCCATGGCCCTCTTGAGCCCAGCGTGAAACTCCGAGCCCTCGAAGTCGGCTGGCGTGGGCGGCCATGGGGCCTGAGCCTGGCCACTGCCGTCTGCGCCACCAGCAGGGGCCCCGGCAGCGCCAGCAGCGGCGCCGCCGCCTGGGTCCCTGCCACCCTCGGCGGCCTTGCGCTCCGCCGCCTCCTTGGCTGCTCGCTGCAACCGCTTGAGGGTCTCGAGCGCCTTCTTCCCTTCCTCGTCCTCGACCGCCGCGGGGTCCAAGCCAGCCATGCCGACAGCCACGGGGTCGTCCACATCCTTGAAGTTGACTTTGTGCAGCATCTTCGCGTGGTGCTCGAGGTCCTTCTTCGCCTCGGCCAGCAACTCCGTGGCTTCGGCGATCCCCTTGAGGAGCTCCTGCTTCTGGATCTCGTACTGCTGGAGCCGCTCCTCGAGCTTCTCGACCTTCCGCGTGGCTTTCTCGACACGGTGCTGAGCGGCCAACGCGGATGGCGGCTTTGCCTCGATCTCCTGGACCTTGGCCTCCTCGACCTTGGCGATGAGCTCGGAGTCGATGCCATGGCTCTTGAGGAAGCCGACACCCTGAGCGTAGGAGGGGCCTTCGCCGCCCGCCGCGGGCGAGGGCCGCGGGCCTCCTCCTGCCCCGCCGCCGCTGGCTCCACCTCCTTTAGTGAGTGCCGCCAGCTGCTGCTCGAGATCCTTGATCTCCTTGGCGAGCCGCGTTGGGTCGCCGCCGCGGGGGCCGCTGCCGCTGCGCCCATGCCGCGGTCGCCCTGCCTTGGCTGCTGCTGCACGGGCATCCTGCTGGACCCGCACCAGCGCTGCCCCTCCGCAGCCGCGGCACTTGAGCCTGCTGGCCCAGTTGCCGCTCTCGCCGCACTTGCCGCAATCCCAGACAGGGAATTTGGGGCCTGGCAAGACCTCTCCATCTGCACCCATGGGCTGGGCGCGCACACGGTGGGTTTGGCTCGCGCCCACGAGCCGCTTCGAAGTACGCGGGCACAAGCTCGAGCTTCACACACAATCAGCTCGAGCCGAAACGGCTGAGGCGGAGGAGGAGGAGGTGGAGGAGGAGGAGGAGGTGGAGGAGGAGGAGGGGGGGAGGAGGATGAGGAGGCGGAGGAGGAGGAGGAGGAGGAGGAGGACGGGGGGGCCGAGCTCTGCGCCTCCCCACTGCCTCCGGCGCGCCCCCTCCCACATGCCTCTGCCTCCCCGTCTTCCCAGAAGAAGCAGCAGCCCTGAGATCCGACGTGTGGAGAAAAGTGAAGCATCGTGGAAGCACGGCCTGATCCCAGGGGGGCGGGGTGCACGGTTTCCCCGGGGCCGCAGGCAACGCGAGGAGGAGGAGGAGGAGGTGGAGGAGGTGGAGGAGGAGGAGGAGGAGGAGGAGGAGGAGGTGGTAGATAGAGCGGCATTGGGGGGCAAGGCAGTGCGTTCGGCCGCAAGTGCGGGCCCCCGCCGTCGCCGCTCAGAGCGGCACCTTCATTGTGATCGCGGCGCCACACGCGCCAATTACCTGCCGAACGAGGCGTAGTCGAATCGGCCATCCATATTCACGTACTCATAGTCGTAGCCCTGCCCTCCACGCAGCCAGCTATTCCTCCATGCCACCCGTAGGTGGTTGGTCCGTTTTCGCCGTGGCTCCCACTTGGATCGGCGCGCTGTGGTTGCTGTCCTTAGTGTTGCGCTGCTTCTTCTGCTCCTCTGACGGAACCTCCTCGGCCTCGGCGACGGTCCTGGGCCCCTGCACGGGATACAGTGTGATCTTCGCGTGGTAGTTGTCATCGCACTTGCTGATCTTCAGGTGCTGCACTTTGTAGAGATCATTCGTCACACGGAACTGGTCCACTAACTTCCCGAGCTCGGCGAGACTGCTCTTAGTGTTGGCGCCCACGTCCGCGGGGCACGGGGACGAAGCGAACGAGTGTCCCTTGCCCTCCTCCTTGCGCTTGTCCGCGTAGAACTTCCTGCGGGCATGGAGCACCTTGACCACCTCGGACTGAGCCGACATCGGATACGCGCTGTAGACGGCGACCCAGGCGATCTGCTGAGTGCTGGCCAGCACTTGCTTGATCATCACCGTGAGCGACCTCTTCAGCGTGAGGTCGCCCTTGGGCTGGTAGGCTTCTCCGCCTCGTTGTAGGCGTCGTGTGGGGAATACGCGACGCCGATGAGGCCAGCAGCCGCGAGCATGAGGAGGTGGAAGAAGCCACGGCTTGGACTTGAAGCCGACGCGGCACGCGTGGTTGAGGACTGGCTCGAAGCTCTCCTGCGCGAGGGGTGCCTCAGCGAGCTCGTCATCGTAGCCCGCGCCTGTCAGCTTCGGCTTCTGCTTGGTGAAGTAGGTGGGCTGGAAAGTTATCTGGAAGACCTCGGCGGGCAGTATCCGGTCTGGCACGGGTTCGCACTCCATGAAGTACTTGAGCCGCTTGGTGACGCCGTAGATAGCTCGCTTGGTGCCGTCCTTGGCGTCCTCAGGTTCCTGGCGAACTTGTAGGTTGTGCTCTGTGGTGAACTCGTGGAAGGTCTCTTTCGAGATGCGCTGCCCCTCCTCGAGGTCGAGCTGGCGAGCACTAAACCCTCCGTGCTGGCCGTCTGCTGCAAAGTGAACTACCCTCTCCTGCACACCCCAGCTCAGGAATATCGTCCAGAAGATCGCGAGCGAAGGAAATATGGATGGCCAGCCGCGCTGGCATGACATGAAGGGTGCCCTGGGGGCGGAAGCTGCTCTGCGTGGGGTGCCTGCTGGGCCGCGAAGAAAGGGGCTAGAGCAGGAGACGGCGGCTGAGGAGGAGGTGGACGAGGAGGAGGAAGAGAGAAGGAGGAGGAGGAAGAGGAGGAGGAGGTGGAGGAGGTGGAGGAGGGGTCGCCGAAGCCCTTCGGAGAAACCCTCCAGGGCGGGGGAGGGCGAGGCAGTGGGCGAGAGTCGAAGGCAGGCGGGCGCAGCGAAAGTCGCAGCGGGGGGGGGGGCGGGCCGAGGCGAGGGCGTCCTGAGGCTTCCTGTGGAGTCCATGGGATCCCCAAGGATCCTCAAGGTTTGTCCAGAGGATTGCGGAGGAGGCCCCCTAGATTCGTGAGGATTCCCGAGGATCCCCCAGGATCCCGCAGGATTCTTCAGGATTCGTAGGGTTTCAGCCTGCTCCTGACGGTTCCTGAGGGTGCCTGAGGGTGCCTGAGGTTTCTTTTGGAGCCCACTGCAGGGGAGGGGGGAGGCAGACCAGGTCGAGGCAAATCCAGCCGTGGCGGCGAGGGACGGCACTGGACAGACGCTACCATGGGTCAGCGGTTCGTGGGTCTGGCGCGTGGGGGCCGGGCCCACAGATCGGGGGAGGCGAAACATGGCGCCATCGCCGCCTGATTCCCTGATTCGGCGACGGAGCTCGCTGGCACAACATGGCAATGGGACCCGTCGCTAATCCACGCGCCCTTCTCCACGCGCCATACTTGCGCTTGCTCGACGGTGGCGGCATCGGCATCTCTCCCGCCTCCGACAACCAGAACGTTCGGAACCAACAAATAGAAAGCTCTGCGCAGACCCAACCGTCCGGAGGTCGCCCTCCTGGGCGCGCAGAGCGCGCCAGGGACGGTGTCAGAGACGCCGCCAGGGGGGCCCAGCGCCGAGCCAACGAGTCCGCGCTGACCTGCGAGAAGCGACGCTTGCGTTCTCTTTGTCCTAGACAAAGGGACACTGCACAAACATAGTGTCTCTGAGGTCCTCGCAGATTTCTTGATCGACGCTGGACCCCCCCCCATGGCACGCGGAGCGTGCCAGGGGCGGCGCCGGCAGCGCCGCCGGGGAGGCCCAGTGCCGATCCCCCAAAAACCGCGCGGAGCCCGGAGACATGATGTCGATGCTGTGCCTTCTTCGTTGACTGCCCAACGAAAACAGCTCACTGCCTCCAGCTTCTTCAGCAGGCAGCGGTTGACGATCTTCGCGTCGATGCCGCCGTTGGGCACGCCGCCGACGGGGAGGAGGTCGAAGCGGGCGGAGATGTCGTGGCCCGCGGAGCTCGGCTGCGCGCCCGTGAGCGGGTACCTGTTGCGCCGCATCAGCAGCCTGCGAGGGCCCCCACAGACACGAGGGGCAGCGACAGGGGGGGGGGCTGGACGGCCTCCCCTGGGGCCGCAGGCGACCCGAGGAGGAGGAGGAGGAGGAGGAGGAGGAGGAGGAGGAGGAGGTGGAGGAGGAGGAGGAGGAGGTGGAGGAGGAGGTGGAGGAGGAGGCGGAGGAGGAGGTGGAGCAGGTGGAGGACGGGTCGCCGAAGCCCTTCGGAGGCACCCTCCGGGGACTGGCTCCCCGGGGGGGGAGGGACATCGACCTGGCATCGGCAAGGCAAGGCATCGCCCATGGATCGGCGACGGGACCCCGCTGGCGAACCTGCACGCGCCTGGGCAGCGTGGGCCAGCGGGCCCCCCCCCCCCTCGGCGATCACTTTACCAGCCTCGAACGTATCCCTATCCCCAAGACTGACACGCCAAAAGGCGATGAGAATCTCAGGGATTCGCCCTCAAAAAATAAGGGAATCCCTAAGATTGGCATCGTGATGAGGAGGTGCCCAGCATAGGGATAGGGATATGTTCCAGGCTGGTAATCACTGGGCGATTGCGGTCGATGCATCCCCCACCGAGTTGGGTGCCCGAGTTGTCTGGGGCAACTCGGGCCCGGGGCAACTCGGGCTCCCATTCCCGAAAGACGAGCCCGAGTTGGCCCTGACCCGATTTGCCCCTGATGATTCAGGGCTCGGGACGCCCGAATTATCCGGAGTAGCTCGGGCCCGGGGTAATTCGGGCTCCCATTCCGCGAACAACGAACCCGAGTTGGCCCTGACCCGATTTACCCCTGATGATTCGGGGCTCTGGCTGAGCCTGGCCCTCACCTAGCGTTGCACCTGGTACAGAGACGCACTCGCACCGCCTCCCCCCGTCCGCATACATGAGAGAAAACCAGGCACGAGCATCCCCTTGCCTCCCTTCCCCTGCTGGGCATCGCATCGTTCTTCGTCGTCCTTCTCGGCAGACCGTGCAGACTGTGCAGCCCAGAGTACTCTTGCCCAATTGCACTTTGGGGGCGATGTCTGCGCGGGGCTGCGATTTTGAATGAGGATCCGTGCGCTTCAGACTTCGGGGCCTGTTTAAAAAGGACGCTTTTCGCCCACGCCTTCCTCACGGTGCTCCCCCGCGCGTGCTGCAATGCCGCTCTGTGCTGACAGGTCGTGCGCTCCCTGGACCTCCCACGCAGTGACAGAACACGATTGAAATGTTGCTCGTCGCTGTCAGTCGTCGGGGGCCCTCGCCGGGCCCCGAGACTGTGGCAAAAGCGACTCGAGCTGGCCCCGGGAGATCGGGTCGGGCCTTCCGGGGACCCCGCAGTGCAAAAATCAAGACATCGGATGTCTGGTTCCATCGCCCACGCATTTCCCAAACATACAGTCAAAAACCCTAATAGGGACGCGCGGAAAGGACGCAAGACCCTTGGAAGCCGAAGTTGCGATTTTTGGGGCGGCGGACGACGAAAACCTCAAGGACGCAAGAGCAAGGAAGAGCAATGACGCAAGGGTACCCTGAGCAATGTCGCGCGTCCTTAGTAGGGCTTCTGACTGTACTCTCGATGATCCTCAGACCGTGTGTGCGCAGCAACGTGTGCTTGTCCACCGAGGCCCTTCCGTGCGACACAGGCGGTCAGTGAGGGCCGACACAGGCTGGGTGCCGTCGGCGGCGCTGAACGGGAGAAACGCTGGGCTAACACGCGTCCTGAGGATCGCCCCTCCCTCTCGCCCCATGCCTCCCCAGAGACCTCCGGCGCAACCATCGGTCAACATCGTGGACCCCCAGAGGTCTGGACCACTTCCCCGGGGGCGGCACCTCCCCTGGGCCGTTTCAGAGGCAGTCCCCCAGAGGCATGGTTGGGGCGCCACTCGGAGGCGGGGAGGGAGGTTTGGGTCCCTCCCTCCCCGCCTCCCTTCTGCCTCGGTGAGGAGCAGCGGAAGGAGGGTCCCAGCTCAGGGGGATGGAACATCGAGCTGGCACTTGTTAGTTCCGCTTCGCTCACTCCGCCAACCCGTACAACGTCATAGCTGCTGCGTGCCCTGGGAAAGTGTTGCGGTCCCAGTGGCGACCTGTGCCTGGGCGGCCAGGGCGCATCCCCAAGAAGTTCGACTCTACAAGAACGGGCCCACCTCGCAGTAAATCGCCGACAGGCCAGCAATACGCCCCCGATGTTGGGCGTGGCTTGATGGGGGGGTTATAGATGGGGGGGGTCGGAAACGGTCCCCTTTCCTGCCCTTTTCGGGCCCCTCCGGAGCCCCAGGGGGCTCGTTTGGGTACCGTTTCGGTACCTTTTTCGGACCACCCTCGCCCCCCCCCCCCTTTACGACCCCCCCATTACGCGAAGGCCCAACGATGGCGAACCCGGGCGCTCCCGGGTGGGGTGGACTATCGGGCCCCCATCGGCGGGGAAGGGTGATGACTGGGGGTCCGCGCGTCCCCCCCTGCGCCGATCCGCCCTCATGTCGCCCCCTGGCTTCCGGGACCACCCCTCGGGCCTCCGGCGGTCGTTCGGGGCGATCCATGGCAGCCCCCCAGAAAGCTCTCGGCGAGGAGCAGCTGCCGCAAAAACCTCAGGCGTCCGAAATAGGGGGCCACATGCGGACCCTACCCCTGCCCCCCACGATTTTTGAAGGAGGGGTGGGGTTCACTTCGTTCGAGAGCTCCCGAGCGAAGTGAACCCCACCCTCCCCCTCAAAAACTGTGGGGGGTAGGGGTAGGGTTCGCATGTGGCCCCCAACGAAAGCGTTGCCCCCAACCCGACGACGGCTCCCTTCCGCTTAGGCTCCCCCAGCCTCATGTCGTAGAGAGCCTCCACCTCTGGCGCCGCGGCCCGGAAGATGTGGGCGCGCGGGTTGTGGCCCCAGCTGTACAGGGCTCCGTGCGACAACTCCGCGGAGGTGAATCCCGTGATCTCCCGCGTCTTGCGGAATAGGGGCCTCGCGCGCGACCCAAGATTCCCAAACCTCCTCGCGTCGTGGAACAAAAACGCGACAGCAGGCTCGAGATTCAAAGATCAAGGATCGAGGTTTTTGAGCTTGTTCCTCTTTTCTCGTCGCCACGGCTGGACTCGCCTCGGAACTCTGGGCAGAACACCCCCAGACCCAGACCTCCTCGCGTCCTCCTAGCTCCGGGGACCCTTACTAGGCCCCTGGACCGACAAAAACAACTTCAGGATGAGGGCAGGTTCCAGGGAAATTGAGGGGCAACGATAAGGGGGGATAGGCATACATAGGGGGGGGTGCATCGATCTGGAATCGGCGATACATCGTCGATAGATCGGCGATAAGCCCCCGATTGTGCATCCGCGCCTTCCCGGGCAAGTTGGGGCTATCGGGCCTCTATCGGCGATCAATGGGCGATTGGGGGTCGATGCATCCCCCCGTACAGTCATCGGCCTGACCTAAGGCACGATAAATAAGGAACGAAGCCCCTGTTGTCCAAGGAAAGAAGCATAAGGAACGATAAATAATGAAAAACGCATAAGGAACGATACGTAACGCATGCAAGCCGAAAGGAACGACCGAGCCCCTTTTTAAGTAAGTGTTCCTTACTCAAGTCGCTCACTGTATGCCAAGATTCCCCCCCCCCCCCTCTCGTTGCCCCTGAGAAGTAGCCTCACAAACACCCTGGGGCCCCGTGTGGCGAGAGCAGCGCGGCGGCGGAGGTCTGGCCGGGGGGGGGGTCCCCGAACGGTGAGGCGACGGGCCGTGCGGTGCCCTCGAGAGCCGAAGAGGCCTCGGCGCACGGTCCGTCGCCACGAGGCCAATGGGACCTCGGCATGCCCCCGTCGCCCCGAGTTGGGCGCCCGAGCTATCCGGGGCAACTCGGGCCCGGGGTAACTCGGGTTTGGATTCCCGAAAAACGAACCCGAGTTAGCCCTGACCCGAATTATCCCTGATGATTTGGGGCTCTGGACGCCCGAGCTAATCCGGGGTAACTCGGGCCCGGGGCAACTCGGGTTCGGATTCTCGAAAAACGAACCGAGTTAGCCCTGACCCGAGTTACCCGTGATGATTCGGGTCTCTGACCGAGGTGCCCTTGGTCGGCGGCGAGCGAGGGGGGGAAATGAGGAGCAGGCCTCCCGAGAGTGCGGCGGGGCTTCTCCGAGGCCCCCTGCGCCTTCGGAGAAGCTCTGCTTCCGTCTTCGGGGGAAGGCCTGGACAACTTCTCAGAGGGCCGGGGAGCCTCTCGCCGCCGACCTGGAGAACGGCCCGAGCCCCAAAGCCCCGCGCACACCCGACGGCGTGGGCACGGCGCACGTGCCGGGAGTGCCCACGGAAAGGGCGCCGGGTGGAGCCGGGAGGACCAGGAGGTTCGGCGGAAGGGCGGCTCCGGGCGAGCTGCAGGGACCTCCGTGGCCAGGTTGGGGGAGTTCGCTGACCCCATCGTGGGGGCACGAGGCTGCGAGGACCGGGCTTGCGGGCCCAGAAGTGGGCGCGCCCAGCATAAAAGCCGGCCGATGTCATACGCGCGACCCCAAGCATTTGGAGCGAGACATGCATCGTCACGGAGCACTGCATACGCAACCTCACTCAGGTCCGACCTGAACTGCAATGGAACAAGAAAAGAGTGCATGAACAGGGTCCGGGCAAATTTCTTGGACATGCGCTGGACCCCCTGGGCCCAATTCACTGGGATGAAGCCGGATCACGCGGGATAAGGCAGCAACATGACTGCTTGGGACAGCGGGTTTACCATCGCCGATACTGACTGTAACGTCCGAGGGCTTGTATTCGAGGGATACGGGCGGTGGGGCGGAAGGGGGCCCCTGAAAGAGAGTGGCGGGGTATGGCTTGACGAGTAGCCGACCCGCGCCTGTTGAACGAGGGGAAGTACCTCAGCCTCTCGAGGAGCCTGGTCATGTCGTGGCTTTCCACTGCGCCTGGGACGGACTCGATGACCCAGAAGGTGTTCGCCGGCAGCGTTGTGTTGGTCAACGGGCCACGACGCTCCATCTTGTTGTAATCGACCACCATCCATTGCGAGGTGTACGTGCCGCTGTTGGTGGAGGTGAAGAGCCACGACCAGTGGGGCGCACTCCTCGCCAACCTGTTGGTGGCCATGATGTGAACGAAATTCGGGATGTGCGGGTGGTCAGGGAAGCGCATGATCCTGCCCCACGCAGCAGGATCCAGCACTTCCAGGGACGTCTCCATTATGGTCAGATTGCTGTCTGTGATGTAGAAGTCGTCGGTGCTGGACAGCGCGCCAGGATACGCAGAGAAGGCGATGAGGGAGGCCTGAGAGAAAACAACACACACACACATAAGCATACACTTTCGGAGGTTCGCGCTGCCTTCTGAGATCGACGTGGGAGCCCGCGCGCCTGGGGAAGGAGGGCACAGCACCGAGCTCGGAAATCTGCGCGGAGCTCCGAACAGCTTATGGCAGGGCCTCGTGATTATGCTCCGAGGGCCACAGTCTCGGCACCCGGCAGGTCAAACTTGTAGTACTTGAAGATCCGCGTCATCTTGCTGTAGTCGTCCCACGTGCTGTGCCCGACGAGGATGTCCGCGCCGTCGCCCGTGAGCCGCACGAAGGCCGAGCAGCGGCCGCCCTGGCGGTGCCCCCGTTTCTTTCTGCTTCGCGGGAACAGGACAGGACGGGCAACTGAGCACGTGCCGTGCGCGCGCGCGGTTGCGTGCCCTACAGTCAGCCCGTATAATAAGGATGCGCGGAAAGGATGCAAGGGCCTCGGATTCCCATTTCGAAGCTTTTCGGGCGGGGCGCAGCCAACGAAAGCGGCCGAGGATGGAACGAGGAGGCAAGGATGCAAGGGTACCCTTGGGAAGGTTCCCCATCCCTACTATGCGGGTTGACTGTAAGAGTTCAGCGGGACTTGATCAACCCATCACGCCAATGGGCGTCCGCGGGGCCCGCGCCCGTCAGGAATTCAGCCCTGGACTCGTCGTGCTCCATGCTCGACGCTGACGCTCCCCGGTGCCTGACACCACTGGCCATCGCTCGGACGTCCATTTCCTGTGTTTTTTTTTGGTTTCGTGCGTGGCTTTTTCGCCAAATGATTAAGGATGCTCCTCGATGGTCCTCGCCGGAGGAAAGAAGCACACGTCCGAGCGATGCCAAGACCAGCGCTGCAGTCTTGGTCCCTGAGGATGATAAATATCTCGGAGGGGCACGAGTTGTCCGCTGTTGTCCTCTTCGTGCGCGTGCAGGACCAAGCCGAGCGACGCTTCACGACTCGCTTGCTGTGGCCGCAGCCGTGTTCCGGGAGGCGAAGGGCCCCTGCCTCGAACAGGCCGTCTGGAGCCTCAAGCGCAGGGATGCGCATTACAAAGGGCGCGGTGGCTCACGAACGGTTGTGCTGCGCCACTGGGCGCACGTCTGCTCCGGGGTCGCCGCAACAGTGAGTTAGGCCAGCTAGATAAGCATCAAGGGCAGTCAGCCAGGGCCCTTCCAACCGGGCACGCTCGCGAGCCCGCCCTCTCCCTTATCCCCGACTGCGGGGCTCTACGTACACCACCCCCACTGAGGGGGGGGGGGGACACGGGCGCAGAGAAGTCGAGCTACTCTGGCGTTGCGGGGGTGGTGTATGCTCCAGATCTCCAATGTATACTCAATCAGAAACAAGATTCGGGTGTATTGTTCACTTGTTCGGCCTCTGGGGACCTTCGCCAGGCCCCAGGATCGTCAAAAAACGGCTCGGGATGGGAAGCCAGGCCTGGAGAAAGCGTGGTGATTTCCAGGGACTCCGTATGGAATACATCAGAACAGTTGATCTCTGAGCCCCCACCACAAGAACAAGGCGCGTGCTGTGCCCCACTCACGCATCTGACCCTCCCGCCAGAAACGCTGGGGGGGGGTCCCGAGAAGGCGAGTAGCTCCTCAGATACCCCTTCCGACTTCCGAGCAGCTCTCTCGGAAGCCTTGGAAGCCCCGCGGCCCACCCAAAAGTGTGAAGGCCTCTGCCTTCTGAGAAGTCCCCCGCCTTCTCTAAAGCCGACCCCTGCGCGCAACTCCCTTCCCAGACGTCCGACGATGTGGTGCTGCTCGGCACCTGCTCCTCGTGGAGCGTCCGTCCAGGATGTGTGCTTGCTCGCCCCAGGGCTCCATAACAGGCCCTGGGGGCCGAAATTAGAGGAACATAGCAGACGCCCGATGCAAAAGATCAAATCGTCCAGGACGTGTGCTTGCTCGCCCCAGGGCTCCATAGCAGGCCCTGGGGGCCGAAATTGGAGGAACACAGCAGACGCCCGATGCAAAAGATCAGATCGTCGGAGATCTGGGCTTCCGGGCCACAGTTCGGATCTCCAGCGGCCGTTCGGGATGGTGCTAGCGCCCCCGGAACGCCCTCGGCGAGGTGCAGCTGCTGGGAAGCATCCCGATGCGAGACAGCCTTCAGAAACTAACCAGCGATAATCTGTGAAATTGCGTGAGAATGAGATCTGGATTTAGCGCGTCCCGCCAGCCTTCTGGACCTCTCTTGCAAAGCGTTATCACCAGAATCTCGAGGCGGATCCAGCCGTGACCACGACGGCACCCGAGGACGATCCACAAGCTCCAAAACGCGAACCTCAAGACTCAAACATCCCCCGAGGTCCGACGCAGCGAACAAAAATACAGCATCGCGAGAAAGTCACGGCCAGAGCCCCAGAATCCATCTTTGGCCATCGCTCGGACGTCCATTTCCTGTGTTTTTTTCGGTTTCGTGCGTGGTTTTTCCCGCCAAATGATCAAGGATGCTCCTCGATGGTCCTCGCCGGAGGAAAAATGCACACGTCCGAGCGATGGCGCCATGTTTCGAGGCGGATCGACCTGTGAGGGCCCCACGGCCTGAACCTAGGCGAACACCCCCGGCTCGAAGAAATTGGCATTGAGACGCCGGGATCTCAGGATGGTGAGCAGGGGTGAGGGGCAACGATAGGGGGGGGACTGGCATAGGGGGGGATGCATCGACCTGGAATCGGCGATACATCGCCGATGGATCGGCGACAGGCCTCCGATCGTGAATCCGCACCTTCCTGGGCAGGTTGGGGCCATCGGGACCCTATCGGCGATCAATGGGCGATTGGGGGTCGATGCATCCCCCCTATGCCTACCCCCCCCATCGTTGCCCCTGAAGGGGGTCCCCGCCTCGATCGGCCAGGTGCTGGCGACTCGGGGACTCACTGACCCGGATCAGTGCAGACCAGGGTCGGTCAGGCCTTGCAAGACCCTGCCAGATCCTGCAGCATCCTGCAGAGTCCTCTACTCAAACCCGGGTCTTTGCGTCCCTGACGCGGCAGGATCCCACAGAACCTGGCGCTCTGCCTGACCCCCGTTTGCAGTGACCCCCGTGCCAAGTCGGGAGCGGCCAAGAGGGGGGTGTCCAAGAGGGGGGGGTGCAAATCATGACCGGCGGCATGTGCGCGGCCCAGCGGGGGGGCTAGGGACGTAGTGAGATAAGAAGAGGCGCCATGAAATCTGGGGAGATATCATGGCCCACGCCATGATATCCACCCCCCCCCTAGTCATCACCCCCCTCTTTTCCGCCCCCGAGCCAAGGCTCCCGAGCGACGGGAGGGGGTCTCGTTGCGGGCATCAGAACTCGACCCCTGGCGTTCTGACCAGGGCTTCCGCCAGGAAGCCAGCCGCGGCCACGAGAGGGGTGGGAAAGGCTCGAGCACCTCGGTCCTCGAACCTCGAAGCTCGACCCTCGAGCCACAACCCTGATGCTCGGACCTCAGACCTCGAACCAAAACCACGACCTGCGCGTCTTGCGCGCCGCAAGCCTCGATCATTCTCCGCTCCCAGTGCGCGTCGTCCAGCGGGTCCCCCGCGGGCGCTGCGGCGGGCGCGTGGCCGGCAGCGCCGCCGCCGGCTAGGCGGCCCAGGCCCCGGGCCCTATGGGGTCGAAGGAGAGGGGGGCGAGGTAAAGGGTCAGGAGGCAAGTCCTCGGAGGTCTTCGCGAGAACGATCCAGGATGGTCCATCGAAAAGTTCATGTCTGTGCCGCCTCTTCTTATGATTAACTCGGTATTCGTATCGTTGGTATCATTACCATGAGTGTTCCTACAGGGCAATACATCGGATATGTTTTACAAAAACAAATAAAATAAAAAAAACATATGATGTTTAATACATGACTAATGTATGAATTAATGTATGCATTAACTCACCGTTGTTATTCATACTAAATCCCTGCATGTTAAATACATGGTCCGCACGTGGAACATGTATAAAAAAACGGCACTGCATTATCATTCCTATTCCGTATCTGTATTCTTTTGATTGATATGATGATTCGTCTTGCTATTAATATAAGCATGAATCGTGTTATTCGTCTTCGTCCAATGTGTCTTATTCCTACTAGTAGCCGTATTCTTCTTCTTAACAGCAGTATTAGTAGTATGAGTGGTGTTATCACTACTTGTATTATTCATCTTCTTCTAAGGGGCATTGGGCAGGAAGGGAAAGGGAGAGGCAGTGAGCAGGAGTTGGAGGGCGGGCGGGCGCAGGCAGCGGGGCGGGGGGGCGGAGGGCGAGGCGGGGGCAAGCAGGCGAGGCGAATACAGGGCTAAACCTAAGCGGTGTTTTTCGTTTTCGTTTCGTTTTCGTTTTCCCTCGTTTTGTATTCAATCCGCCTTTGCCGCAAAAACGGAGTCGAAACGAGAACGGCCCACGAAATCGCCAAAACATCGTTTAGGTCCAGCCCTGGAGGCACATCCTGGGAGGTCTTCGTCAGGACGAGCAAGGGCGACTGAGCCCGAGTAAGGGGCCGCTAATAGACGAGCGCGTTCCACTACTCGCAAAGTCACTACTCGCAAAATGCCCCGCATCCGCCGAGGGGTATTTGCGACCCACTGCAGCGAGGAGGGCATGCTTGTTTGTCGGAAGTTTGCGAGTAGGCACTTTGCGAGCAGCGAAACGCGCCCCGTGAGCTAGGCCAGAGTAGGCCGGATTCAGGCGGGAGTACGCGGGATTCAGCGGAATCGAATGGGACTATGCGGGATTGGGCGTGCATTCGGCCACCGATGTGCCAGCGTCGATACCGAATTTAACCTCCCCGGAGTCGCAGCCTCAAGTGGGGGTTAGCGAATCAGCCCAAAAACCCAGATCTCCGACGATCTGATTCCGCAATCAGAGCTTGCACTGATTGGGGTCCCAACAGGAATTGAAAAATTTGGCGAAAAAAACCCGCCGATTTTGGTGGCTGGCTGGGTAATTACCCGGGTTCCCGGTTCCGGGTTCCCGGGTTCCTGGTTGTTGGTTCCGGTCCGATTTCGGGGAGTTCCGGGTTTCCGGGTTCCCGGGTTCCCGGATTCCTGGTCGATCTCCTTATCGATCCGTTTATCGATCCAATTTCAAACCATCCATTAATTGGGGTTTTCTCGACCCCGGCCCCTCCTCCTCCTCCTCCTCCTCCTCAATCCTCCTCCTCCTCCTCCTCCTTAGGAGGAGGAGGAGGAGGAGGAGGAGGAGGAGGAGGAGGTTGAAATGCGGCGTAATTGGGGTGTACTTGTTTCAATGCGGCGTTGTTCCTCGACCTCGGCCCCTGGGGCCAGTGATCGGGCCCCTATAGGACAATCAAAAACAGACCCGGGGCTCAAGACTGCCCCCCAGGGAACAGGTCGGGACCTCTGGGACGGCGGGCTGAAAACATCACATCGCCAGCTGTCAGGGTTAGTGAAGGGAGGGCTTAGCGTTAGGTCGGGCACGTCCCCCTACAGGGGGGACCTCGGACAAAAAACTAAAAAAACGAATGCTCAACACATGTTAAAAGATGCTCAGACATATGTTGACCCGAAGGTCAAAAGATGCTCAAAAATATGTTAAACATTGTTTATATTTATACATATATATACAACAAACAAAAAAAACTCCCCAGACTATGTTTTGACTATTTGTGAAGATTTCCCCTGTAGAGGGACAGGTCCGACTTAAGGTTAGCGAATCAGCTCACGTAGCTGGTTTTCACCCCCCCTGGAGGCCCAGGAACAATCCACTGGAGGGTGTCTCTATGTGTACATTTACGGCGAATGGGAGGCCCAGAGCATTGGGGGCCGCTGCATTCTCTCCTGACCTAATCCCCCGTAGCGTTGCCCCCGATTTGGCATGTCCGAAATGAGTTCAGTCGGGGCATTGACCTAAGAAACCCTGAAAAGGAACGAGGCCCCTTTTTCTCATAAGTTAAACTTCGGTGTCAAATGGAAAACCTGAGGAAGACCTGAGGCACACTGTTAAACAATCAAGGAACACCGAGTCCCTCCCCAACGAAAAGGGTTCCTTCTTCAGCGCCCCGACTGTACAGAAAAAGTGGGTACGATGCCCAACAACAAATGCTGTCTGAAATCAACGGCGGCCGCTGTTGGGCAGGCGACCATCTGTCTCAAGTGGGCAACGTTTGCGGCGACACGGACGGCGACTCCTGCTCAAGATGGACGAGACCTGCACACGGTCTTCGCCCCGATTCTTTCAGCACCCATTTCGATACCATTCGACGTTGCGACAGAACCGAAAAACCACGCCCCGAGCTCCCCCAGACCCCAGCTTGGAGCTCCATCTTTCGAGCCGGACCGATCCCAGAAAGCCCCGGGCCCGAAACCAGGCGACGTCGACCAAACCCGTACCCATGTTGATCGTGCCGAAATGGGTACGGCTTTGGTCGAAGACCTACTGACCTGGGTCAATCCAGACCCCGGTCCATCGGGCCTTGCAGGATCCTGCACCCAAACCCGGGTCAGTGCACCCTATGGCCCTGCAGGATCCTGCAAGATCCGGCGCTCTGGCTGGCACCTGTTTACCCCGTCCCTCCTTGAGCCCATAGTCTAGGCGGCGAGCCAGGGGGGGGACGTGAGAAGGGGCGTGCCTTCTCAGAAGGCTCGGGAGTCCCCCGGATTTCTGAGAAGTTTTCTAAGCCTTCCCCGAAGACAGAAACAACTCCTCAGAAGGCGCGAGGGCTTCTGAGAAGTCCCGCCGCCTTCTGAGAAGGCCTTCTCCTGCTCACTTCCCCCCCTCGCTCGCCGCCGAGTCGGCCGAAATCGGCCGAAACCTCGCCCATTTCGATCGTGCCGATCCTCAGAGGATCGAGGATCGAGGGAATCGAGGATCGAGGGGATCGAGGATCGAGGGGATCGAGGAGGAGGAGGGGATCGAGCATTGGGGGCTCGAGGATCGAGGGGATCGAGGATCGAGGGGGTCGAGGAGGAGAGGATCGACCGTGCCCATCCGGGCGGTGGCAGAGCTGGGCTTAGTGGGGCCTGGTTCAGGGATGTGCGCTGGGGGACGCCCGGCCGCCCCGCTCCACCAGGCGGAACTGCCACCACCCGGCAAGAACACGCGCTACGGCAGACGTGGACTGGATATTCTGGCCCTGGCCGATGCAGGGGCTCCGGGGCCCTAGTATAGGGCGACGATATCTATGCATATCCACTGTTCCCGGCCAGGCCAATCCTGGGCCCAGGAGCGTTGTATACGCCCTCCTGGCTTGGCCAGGGAGGCATATACACCGCTCCTGGGCCCAGGATGGGCCTGGCCAAGAGCAGTGGATATGCATAGATCTCGTCGCCCTATACTACCAACCGGGTCCGCGTACCCTGGGGTCCTGGCTATACCTGGGGTCCCGGCTGTACCCGGGGCCCTGGCCATGCCGACGCGTCAAAGCAAGACGGTCCTGGCAGGCAAGGCTCTTAGAACCTCGTGCGCTATAGGCCTGGAGGCACGCCAGGACGCCTCGCCACTGCTCGAATTTCAACCGCACCGATCCTCTGCAGGAGCGAGGGCCCGGCCGGCCCAGGCGCCAGCGCCTGCGCCATCGTCTCCGCGGGCGCGGGCGCGGGCGCGGGCGCCGGGCCCCGCGCGCAGCCAGGGCGGGGCCAGGCCAGCGCCTCCGGGCTGTAGGCCTGCAGGAGCTGCGGGAGCTCTCCCGCGGAGTTGATGATCACGAGGTCCTCTGCCGGCGGCAAGCGAGGGGTGGCAGTGAGGATCGGGGGCGCGCAAACACGGATTAGCGATCCGTGGATTTGGCGCGCGGTCTGCCCCGGGGGTCGCTGTCTGGGAGAGCTCGAGGGCCGCAGGTACAAAAAAGGCACGCGAGAGGCTTCCAGAATACCTCCCCAGAGGCCCTCCTCCTCCTCCTCCTCCTCCTCCTCCTCCTCCTCCTCCTCCTCCTCCTCCTCCTCCTCCTCCTCCCTCCTCCCTCCTTACTCCTTACTCCTCCCTCCTCCCTCCTCCCTCCTCCCTCCTTCACCTCCTCCTCCTCCTCCTCCTCCTCCTCCTCCTCCTCCTCCTCCCCCGAGAGCCGTCCGACGAGACCCCAAGAAGCATCCCTCTGGCCCACGTCAGCGTCGTCGCCGCCGCTGCCGCCGCTGTCGTCGCCGTCCCCCTTCAGAGTCGGCGGTACTGGCCGTAAGGCCTTCGCAATATCGGAGGGCGTCTAATCTCGCCCATGGCGCCCGGCAGTGGATGCGCGGCGCGGGGGCATCTCTGCGCCCTCGCGCCCTCGCACCGATTCCGCGAATCCCCGGACCTCTCCCGCAGTGCGCTCTGATCAGCATCTCGAGGAGAATCCAGCCGTGGCGACGAGGGTCTCCCAGGAGGCCCCAAACAGACCAGAACGAGGGAAGGGTAGCGGTAGTGATAGGAACCTTAGAGGCCTCCTAGATGGGGTCGGAGTAGATGGGGTCGGAGGATCGCACCGCATCGTCGATACATCGGCGACGCATCGGCGATGCATCGGCGATGTATCGGCGATGTATCGGCGATGCATCGGCGATGTCGGCGGTACATCGTCGACGCCAGCGCAAAGAGAATCGGGCTCCACATCGAGCCGCATCGCCGATGCATCGGCGATGCGGCGCGATCCTCCGACCCCATCTGCTCCGACCCCATCTAGGAGGCCTAGATACCCGTTCCTCCCCTGACCCCTTGGAGAAGGGCCGCCGCTCCGGCCCAGACCGCGACGCGCGGACCTCGGGCCGGGCGAAAGGGCGGGATAGCAAGGGGGGGGGGTGAAAATCAGCTCACGCAGCTGATTTCCCCGGCGCCCCCTGGCGCCAGAGGCGCCCATGTATCGAGGACTGGGCCCCTCGCTGGAGCCAAAACCAGCTGCATGCAGCAAATTTCGTAACCCCCCCTTTCCCAATCCCCCCCCTTTCGTCCGGCCCGAGGGCCTCGAGCGGGCACCTCCGCGCCCCCCGCGGGGGACCTCGGGTTGGAGCCGGCCGGGGCCTCTAAACTGGCTGGGCCCCGTGACGAGCGGCCAACAAGGGGCCTGGGGATGGGGGCACACCCTGCAATCTGGCGTGGTTTTTCACTCCGGATCCGTTTTGGACGGTCCCGAGGCCTGCAAGCGGCCCCCCGGGACTGAACCTGCAACGAAGACCTCATCGAGCCCAGAACCTCTAACCTCGCCGCCCCTTCCTTAGAAGGCAACCACTGGGAGGTTTTCGCCGGAAAGACTAAAAAGTATGAAGCCCCATTTGGGAGCTATTACGCCGGGGTGGGCCTCGGATTAAGCGGGATTATAAGCCGGATTAAACGGGAGTAAGCGGGATTAAGCCGGATTAAGCGGGATTAGGCTGGAGCAAGCCGGATTTCGCTGGACTTTGGACCGGGGCAAAATCAGAATTTGACCTGCTCGCCGCTATATGTAGCTATATATATATATATATATAGAGATCAGCAAACTCATCAGCGCCAACATCGCCAACATCATTGCTCAAGACAAAAACAAGGAACATATCATATATATATATATATATATATATATATATATATATATATATAAACACGCGGAAGTATGTTGTGTCACAAAATAAGAAGAATTGCGGTATCAACGTGTTTTGGAGGAAAAGACAATTCCGCAAATTAGTTGCGGAAAAGAGGCTCTGGGACCTCAGACACCCAGCCGGTTCCAAGCCTGGGGTCCTCCAGCGCCAGCACGGGGGCACCCACGGAGAGCGCCGCGGCGTTGAAGCCGTCGCAGATGCCCCACAGCTGCAGGAGCACGTAGCGCGCGTGCCTGAAGGGGCCCTGGGACACACAAATAAATGCACACAAATCACAGGATGCCTCATACTTTCCCATGTTTTCTGGACTTTTGTCTTCCACCCCACCTCCCATCTTTTCCAATATTTTCTGGGGAATCGACGACGAATTGTGTCTGTGTGTTTTCTCCTCCTGAATGCCTCCAGTATGCCTCCGCGGGCTCGTCCACCATGGCGTGCCCGACCAGGTTCGTCTTCTCCCGCAGGTGGTCGAGCTCCTGGCTCAGGGCGGCGCGCACACCGCCCATGGCGGGGTGCGTGCTGTCGTAGTGCGCGAGCAGCCGGCCGAAATTGCGGAAGTACTGCCCGAGGCGCCGAGAGGTGAGGACGCCCTCCGTGAAGCCCGCAGCGTACATTTTCACATCGTTTGACACCTGAGCGACGGGAACAGCGACATTACGCGGTGTCTCACGCGGGCGGCCGGCGCGGCACACCGCGTGGAGAACAAATGGGCGCTCACGCGCGACCCTACGCGGGGAGCTTAAGCGCCAGCGTCCGCGCTGGCGGCCCCGCTTCTCTGCGTATAGCTCACCTGCTCGTAGTCTGTCGTGTAGAGCCGGAGCTCAGACCACCCCGTGCTGTTGATGCGATCGTCGAACTGCCCCCAGGCGATCGGGATGCCCTCGGAAGACCCGGTGCCGCGGTCCAGGCGCATCTCGTGGTTCTCCTTGTCGAAGACGACCTGCAGCCCATCCGATGCGTTCGTCTCGTCCAGGTTGAAGCCTACTCTGGCCGGAAGAAGAGAAAGCTGCACGCACATGAACTCGCCATCGCTTGGAAATCTATTCCCTGTGCATTTTTCGGTTTCGTGCGTGTATTTTTTCGCAGCGTGAACAAAAATGCTCCTCGATGGCCCCTGCCGATAAAAAAAGCACCCGTCCGAGCGATGCCAAGTGAACGCTCGGAGGCCCGCGCGGAGCTCCCGGCTCGGCGCTGGACCCCCCCTCCCCGGCGCGCGGAGGGATCCGGGGGCGGCGCTAGGGCGCCGCAAGGGGGGTCCGGCGCCGTTCCAGGAAATCCGCGCGGGCCTGCGAACGTGTATGGTCGGACTTAAACGGGCGAAGAACGGTATAAAATAAACTTTTCCGCTGTCGGGGGCGCCTGTCCCAGGGCGGCTGGAAAGTTTATACCCTGACGGTGGCACCGTAGGGGTATAAACTTGCCAGCCGCCCAGGGACAGGCGCCCCCGACAGCGGAAAAGTTTATTTTATACCGTTCTTCGCCCGTTGAGGATTTGAGTGGAGAGGACACGCGAAAGGACAGAAAAGACCCTCGGCACGCTGCCAGAATGAATGTAGGAGGCATGGGTCGCGAGACACGGGACGCAAGGGTACCCTTGACTTGGCAGGGTCGACCTACTAATCGGGGCCGACTGTATGCTTATGTAGGTTGCTCTTCTTCGACTGGTGCGGTACAGGGCTCGGTGGTGCGACGTGCCGGAGCCAGGCTTCGCGGGGCCGCCAGGTACGCCGCTCCTGGTCCCTCGACGCTGCCAGCCAGAGCCTCGAAAAACGAGGCGCCCCCGAGAGTCCCAGCCGAGATGTGTACCGATGCCAACTCTCCGCGAGCGCGAGAGTTGGGCGCAGCACACCAGCACGAGCACAGTGGGGAAGAGGCTGCGCCCCACGAGGGGGCGCTGCATGGCTTCGTTACCGTCGCATCTGCAAATGAACAACTCGACACAACTCTACGCGAGAGCGCTGAGTCAAGCTGGCTACGGACAGTGATGGTGGCGGTGAAGATACCGCCCGCAAGCTGCCGTGGCAGCGCTTGCTCGCACGCGCGCCTGCTGCAGACCTGCTGCCCTCTGAGCCCTTGCGGACGGAGCCCGAAGAACCTTCCTCGGAGGGGCGTCGGGGGCGGGCAGCGAGGGCAAGGGGCAGGTCGGGCGTGTCCCCCTACAGGCGGATTTTGGACGAACAATAAAAAATTAAAATGCATTACAAAAATTACTCCACAAATCGTCCCCGTACTATTGCTTGACTCATTTTGACTATTGCCCCTGTAGAGGGACAGGCCCGACTTCGGGCAAGGCCTACCCCGCCGCCAACATTCGGCGGGTCCTTCATAGGGAACCGAACTCTATACACCGACGCCTTTGTATGGCCTCACACTGCCTCTCGCACAGGAAAGCGGATCCTGGTGTATACGGGATCCTGGTGCCTACATTCTTCGTTGCCTCCCCCGGAAAACGGGGAAGAAGTGTACACCACACCACCCCCCGACGTCGTCCCCGACCCTCAAAGAAGTCCTGGGATCGAAAAGCCGCCCGCCACTGGTAATGTATATGCTTAGGGCGGGCCTGTCACCCCAAACGTCCCCCCAAAAAAGCAACTGGCCTTGGTGTTCGAGTCGCAACTGGGCTCTCCAGCGGCTGTTCGGGCTCCCCCGGAACGCCCTCGGCGGGGTGCAAAAAACTTCCCCGGGGCCCTGGGCCTGGAAGCAAGCCCCGAAGCGGTGAAGCTCGGGCCTCCTCGAGGGACCCAGCCGTCCTCTGGGACGGGTCGGGCACAACCGGAACGCCCTCGGCGAGGCGCAGCTATACTCGGGAGCGGCCAAGAGGGGGGTGTCCAAGAGGGGGGGATGCAAATCATGACCGGCGGCATGTGCGCGGCCCAGCGGGAGGGCCAGGGACGTAATAAAATAAGAAGAGGCGCCATTAAATCTGGGGAAATATCATGGCCCCCGCCATGATATCCACCCCCCCCTAGTCATCACCCCCCTCTTTTCCGCCCCCGATCCTCTGGAACCGGTCGGGCACAACCGGAACGCCCTCGGCGAGGCGCAGCTATACGCAAGAGTGACCCTGGGTAAGAGTGACCTTTGGTGCGCGGCTTTTGGGGGGGCCGCGGGGGGACCAAGCCTGGGTGCGCAAGCAGCTGCTGCTGCTTCGTTTTCAGCCATCTGGGTACCCATCCGTGCCCGCACCTCAAGGTCACTCCGGCGAAGGGTCACTCTTACGTCTAGTCGAGCGGCGCAGCTGTTGCAAAGTGCAAAGCACCCCGAGGCGGGGACACCGCTGAGAGCCGGCGCAGCTCACACCCGAATGCCGCGGGCGAGACGTGCTCTTGGCTCGGAGGAGGGCCGCTCGAGACCACGGCGGCTCTCCCGCCGGGCCCACCAACGCTCAAAATCTGCCCCTGAGGAGGAGGAGGGAGAAGAGGAGGGGGAGGAGGAGGAGGAGGAGGAGGAGGAGGAGGAGGAGGAGGAGGAGGAGGAAAAGGAGCCCACCTCCGCTCAAAATCTGCCCCTGAGCCCTCCCCAGGTCCATCCTGACACCCAATTTTGGAGGTGGACCCAGCCGTGGTGACGAGAAGCAGCCACCCTGAGGTGCGATGCTGCGGCAAAAAATCGAAGCACACGGAAAAAACATGCTTCGAGCCGGGTCGATCTGTGGATGTCCCGCCCGAGACGGCGCGACAACGCCCAGGGTGAACAAATGCAAAGCCTGGATCTCAAGGCGGGAGGCGCAAACAGACGGAAAAACGCCGGGGCCGACAGGACTTCGGCTGGACCTCCTCCGACTGATGCTCCCCTGGGTGACGACTTCCGAACTCCACCCCACCGACAATCGGCTCTTCTGAATCCATGGGGAGCGTGGGTAGGGTTCGGATGTCGCCGCCTGTTCGACGACTTCCGACCCCTACCCCCGCTGCCCACCGAGCTGCGTGAGTCGCTGATCGGCGAGGGCTGGGCTCGGACTTCGACGCCGATGCCCCTCCCCTGCTGACTACCTACCAAACCACCCCAACCCAACCCGAAGACCCGAATTTGACCCGAATTTCGGGTTGGGGGGGGTACGGGTTCCATGTGTTTTTTCGACGTTCCCCGACCCCCCCCCACTGGAAATGGAGGGCAAATTGAGGCCTTCGGGTTGGGTTGGGGTGGTCTGGTAGGTGGTGACCTGCTCTGTTTTGCTGCGGGGCCGCCAGCCGCCCCGATCGAGGCCTGCCTGGAGCTGGCCCTCCGCGGTTGGCGGCGGCAGAAGGGGCGGACAGCACAGACAAGCGGGCACTGCGCGCACGCCCACGGGGAACCCCATCGAGGCCATGGGCACTCAGCGCCCCCCGATGCAGCTGGGGAAAAATCCTTTCTTGTTTGAGGGGCGAGGGAGAAGATTGGAGCGGACAGCATGATGGAACCTCCAGGCACCCCCGCCTGACGCACGATAGGAACACATGCGAAGCACGTGGGGGCAAAAGTTGAGTGAACTTTCCGAGGGGGGCAGACATCCAATAGTGAACGGCCCCAATGCCAAGAACTCAAGATTTTTGAAACCACATAACGCGCGTGAGGTGGCTGGGTGGGTGGGTCCGCGGGCACATAGAATAATACAGTCGTGCCCAGCCACTCCAATGTGTTTTGCTATGAGAGGGCTGCCCCTGTTGCTATTGTTGGTAGCGAAATCCTAGCAGATGCGATCGCCACAAGCGCGTTGACACCGCAACGCCCGCTCGCACCACAAATGCTGATGCAATAACTTACGCATGTACCTGATCTGTTGCGCACATCACAATGCATGGGTGCATGGCAGTGCTCTTGTGCACCGCAGCGCTTGTGTACACAACTGCGAACGCGTACGCCACAACGCCTTTGCACAACTCAGCTGCGGCCACACAACCACGTCCCGCGTGCACCACAACGCCTGCATATAACACGATCCGCGCGCATGCCTCAGCAGCTGCGCGCAGCACGGCGACTGGCGCCTGTGTGCCCTACATTGCATATGCATACCATCAGGCCCGCGTACACCACGATGACCCCGACGAGGCCCATGAACCGAAACTCGTGCTCGCGGGGATAGGTGGGGGGGGCGCGAACGAATCAGATTGAAACTGCCATGTTTTGTGAATGGTGTTGTTGGCCGCCTGGAAATCAATCTGGCAGGTTTTTCTAGCTGCGCGCGGCCGCTTTTTGCGAAGACTCCTTCAGAAGGAGAGGGCCGTTGGCGCCTCGGGTTCACTCGTGCCGCGGTTTGGTCCGAGAGGGCCCTGGCCCAAAACGCTCCCAAAAGGGCTCCGACGCGGCCCAACACCGCCCCAAAACGGCAGAAAAAACACACAAGACCGCCCATGGGGCCTCGAAGAGGGGGAACGCCGACCGACACTTCGAGCCATCCGCCCCTAGACGCTTTGAGGAGACCCCACGAGGCGCCCAAGAAACCCATGTTTGTTCCGAAGACCCAGTGGCACCCAAGAGCGCGCCCACGAAGGCCCGAAAATCGTCCTCGTACTCGTCCTCGTCCTCGTCTCCCTCCTCGTCCTCGTCCTCGGCCTCCACCTCCTCCTCCTCCTCCTCCTCCTCCTCCTCCTCCTCCTCCTCCTCCCCCTCCTCCTCCCCATTCCCCCTTCTCACTGCGCCTTGGTCGGCACGGTGGTAGTACAGGAATTGTTCCAGGAAGTTGCGGCGCACCACAGTCACCACATTCACCGAACACTTGACCAGTGTAACCTGCTGGAGCCTAGATACGCCACACACACACACGCAATGTTCAGGGGCCTGCGCTGGCACATAGGTGATCGCACGCGCCGAACGTCGTGGAATTGGACGGCCATGCCTGACCATACACCCTTCTCGGGAGCGGCCAAGAGGGGGGTGTCTAAGAGGGGGGGGTGCAAATCATGACCGGCGGCATGTGCGCGGCCCAGCGGGGGG